ACGCATCAACCCTTGCGGTTTAGGGTTAGCTTTATATGAAATAAGGAGTCTTCAATTTACTGACTCTAAAGGCGGATCATCTTATGATCTCTTTTACTATGCATAGATTCCCGAGTCATTGTAAATGTCATCCTAATTTCTCCGATTTAAGGATAACCTAATCTCTCACAGAGATTTGACGAATTCCTTCAGCTTATTACCCTAGCCCTGTGCCCTATCAGGACAAGCCCAAGAGCATACCTATGAGTCTCCATGTTTCAGGCAGACGAGGTATACAATCAAGGCATGCCTTCTAGAACACAGTCTAAGTGATAACTTCTGGTCTAAGGAAAGACATACCCAAATATATAGAGACTACTCTAATGCTACTATCTGTGAGATTTCCTCATAGAGTCTCTTTGAGGGTCCGTTCAGTGCGAGCTATACCCTTATAGGTCCACCCACGACTTTAGCTAAGACATCTCCATATCTGTAGCACATAAGGTCTATACCTTGTATCCATATACAAGTAGATAAGTCGTGCTAGTCTTACCCGAGATTACTGACCCCATTCTCAGTATCTCTAGACTAGGAACATAAAATTAGGAATAAACATTTGGTATTCTTGAATCCTCATGATTGTGATCTCATCACAGATACTCAAGAGATACCTATTTTATTCCACGGGGTTTATCAAGTTATTCATAATATATTAACATTAATATCGAGACATAATTATGAAACAAGATAAAGAGTGCTTTTATTTATTTGCGACAATATTAAAAAGGTCTACATCTATGTCCTTATTTAATCATAAGATTGTCTCTAGGACACCCAAATACTAACAAAGCACTAGGAATTGGATGTCAGCTGACCTTGAAGTGGGTGGTGTTCCCATTGATAAGCATAGGTTTATCATGCCGAGGGGCTTGGTGACTGTTGCGTTGAAACCTGACAGTTCACCAACAACTGGGGTTAAGTCATTGACCGTTAACCCTAATGTTTTGAAACAATGTAAAAATAAGATGTCAGCAGAACTGCTATGGTCAACAAACACTCGATTTAAACCAAAATTTGCTATTATAGCTTGAATGACTAGGGAGTCAGCATGTCCGGGTAGGACGTCGCCTAAATCGTTGCTGTCCCAAACGATTTTAGGCTTGGCGGGGCACAAACCAACTTTTGCTTTGTTGATGACTTTGCCAGACATAGCCAAACACTACTTCAAATGTTTCTTCCTGGCGTTAGCTGTTTCTCCACCTACACTCAATCCGCCTGAGATCGTGTTTATTACACCGTGCTTGATGATAGCTGAGTCTTTGTCACCATCTTCCCGTCTTCCGCTATAGTTTAGGCTGGTCAGAACTCTGTGGTCTCGTGGAAAGTCTTTTCTTTGGTTACGTTCACGGCGACGCCTGCCAAAACTAAATTCACGCCCTGAATTATTCGTCTGTCTTTGGGCTCCTTCTTTGATAAGCTCATTAATCTCATCTTTGAGGGATCTGCATTCTTCAGTGCTATGGTCGTTGCTGCGGTGGAATTTGTAGTATACAGTGGTTTCCCTAGTCAGCTGTTGGTGTTGTGGGTTATTCTTGCGTTCTTTGTATTCAGTTTGTAGGACGATGTGTGATTGGTGTCCTGAAGTATCACGCCCCAAAAGGCGGCCGGAGAACTTGGCAGACTTGTGAGTTTTCCTGTCTTTGTCTGCGTTGTCATTATCTCTGTTAGCTTTCTTCTCTCGGTTATGAAAGTCATCAGCTTTGCTTCCCTTATACTCTTCAACTCGCATGAATTCTTGAGATTTTTTCTTGACCTCTTCAAGGTCGGTAATTTCGTGGCAAGCGAGCTCATACGGAACGCCCCTTGTCGCAAGCGGTCCAAAAAGGATCTGAGGGATTCCTCTGATTGCTGGCGAATCTTTTCAAGTGAGTGGATAGACTTAGGCATTGGGTGGCTTGTTGCGAAGTGGGTCTAAAACTTTCCTGCCAAATCATCCCATGACGCAATACTCCCGGTTGGCAAAGTGGTGTACAACGTCAATGCTCTCCCGCCTAGGAGTGTAAGGAAAATCCTGCACATGAGGAGATCTGTCTCGCCATAAAGAGTCATTGTTGCTTCGAATTTTTGGATCCACTCAAAAATATCTGTGTCACCCACATACGTCGTGATATTGGACGGTCCTTTGAAACCGAGAGGTATGGGCGTTAGGCGCAGGCTATCTGTCAAGGGTTTGTTGCGTCCCGATGTATTAGTGGGTGTCACTCGTAAGTTCGGGTTACGCGTGTGTAGGTCTGGCGGTGGGTGAGGTGCTTGAGGAGCTTCTACAGAGTAAGAAAAGGCTGGGGCTTAGTGGGCGCCATGCTGGGGTAGGCCTGGGATCACATATGACCCTTGGGGTTGTGGAACGACTTCATTATGAGGCGGTATTGCATAACCGTGGAATGGAAAACCAGTAGGGAAAGGCTGAGGGTAAGGGGCAGCAACGTTGTCGGTGTAAGGTCCAGGGGGATATGTGGCGACTACAGGGACTCGATGATCATTATATACAGCCACCGGTTGACTTCGGGCTGGTTGCCGGTAGTTGACTAGTGGGATAGTTTGCAGGCCAGTAGTGGGGAATGGCATTTCAAAACGAACTCCTGGCAGTGAGGGTTGAGTTGGGATCAAGTTCTCTCCTTGGACTTCGCGTATAGCTACGCGACGATCCAACTATGTTATTCTGGCATCTGCTGCCGGTAACTGTGCGCCAACAGATTGTAGCACCGGGGGGAAGTCCTCATCAGCTACTTGTTCAGCTGGGGCTGAATGCATGGACGGTGGGGAGCTGGAATGGACCGTTTGTGCATAACCTTCTGGGGTAATGGCTCTGGTCTGCTCCGCTCTTCTTGTCGTGAGAGCCATGTTTAGCTGTTGGGATATTGAATGCCTCCTATAGATCTTCGGTAGGAGAATAGGAATAGAAGTTTATAGTTTCCCACAGACGGCGCCAATATACCGTTGGGATCTATAAGCCCATTATGTTCCCTATAGGGGTAATGTCACTATATGAATGATACCTCTAGCGGAGGTAAAGACTAGGCTAGAAAGTACTATTCCAAGTATGATGCAAGCTGATAACAACGGAAGGATGGGTGTGTGTAAGAATGTGATTTAATACATACGGGCATAATAACGATACATAAGATGCCTTCTCTGTATGTGGAGAAGGGTATTTATAGGGGTCCAGCGTGTTGATCTAGTGCGGGTTGGTGATAGGGGGTCAACGCTCCTTGAGATTCGCTGGGGGAAGTTGACACTGCTAAGGCAGCACTGATGCAGTGCCTGTACTTGGTGATGTCAGCATGCGACAGTGGGGCGGTTACCTCTTATGGTACCTGAGGCGGTCTTTAGGGAGTTGGGATTCCAAGATGAGACATTTCGGTGTCTCATCTAGGAACGCAAGCCACCTTGGGAGCAGCGTTCCGAGTACGTTTGTAGGGCTGACGTGGACGCAAATGAGAGGTTTGGGCTTAAGTTATTGGGCTTTCTGTGGCATTACCAAGTTCTTTCCCGTCTACTAAACACTTACCATTACTAATTTACTACCCTCACGAGTCCAAATACATTTTATCGTTTGTTCATGTCATTATTTGATTTTATCGTAAATTCGTAAACATATTAGCTTTACTTTTTTTGTCAAAATATTAATTTATTTAAAAAGTAACGATATTTACTTTCATAAACTCTTTAAACAAAACCCACATAATTTGGGTAAGAATTACGCCCTAATTTCTCTATATTTACAAAAATATTTTCCAAATTTCAATCACACACCAAACACAAACTTTTAATTGAATGATTTTGTATTATAATTCTCTAACATGTTTCATACCTCTCACAAAAGAGTCTTTTGTGCTTGAAGGATAATACAATAATTTACTTAAAAAGTAATGATATTTAAGCAAATTTATATTCATAAATTATGTTTAAACATTAAACATAATTTGTGTAAGAATTCTTCCTAATTTATATAATTACGTGAATATTTTCCTATTTTAAATCAATTGTTAGTTGAATGATTTTGTGTTATATTTCTCTAATTTATCTCGTACTCTGTCACACAAGAGACTATTGAGTTTGAACGATGGATAATGCACATATCCACGTATTTACATTAAGAAACTTCATAATATTAATTCTTTTATTAATAGAATGAGAGTGATAATCGAACTTGTAACCACTTGATCAAAGTGATTCCAATACCAAGTAAAAAATTAATTTAAACCATAGTTTAAATTATTAGGTGAAGCTGAAATTAATAGTTTTTTTATATTATATTTCTATAAAAATAATTTTCTTGAAATTCGAATTGTTTTCTTGTCACGGACCATCAGAAAAAAATATACAAGTTTTAATTATTTGAGGAACTGCCCACCATGAAAGTTTATTAGGTACATCATCTATATTTAAAACTATTGATGTCTTTCCGTAACATTGCTCTCTCTTACTACTGGATAATAAGCGAAAATTCAAATACGTTTTAATCCTTGGAACCCATTCTACTTTGGTGGTCGCTTTGCTCACTAATTGTGATAGTGTAGCTCGTGAGTCTCATTTGTTGACTCGTATAGGTATACTTTTGGATTCTGATTGGCAGATCTTAGTTACACATGCTTCTAGAGAAGCAACAATTGTACTGATTGTTTAGCTAATTTTCTTATTCTGAATTATTATTTGCCAGGTTAGTCTATTTTTGTGATTTCTCTATCTCCATTAAGATTGTTGTTTCATGTAGATGCTGCTAAAATTTGTCATCCTAAAAAAGGAACGTGATAGATTTATTTCTTTTCTGTTTTTTGGCTTATGTTGGTTTTTGTTTTCTTTATTTTTTATTTTGCTGTTTTGCTTTTTCAATTTCTTGTATAAAAAAAAAATGTTTAAACATGACTCACGTGTGACGAAGAAGACTGGTCTGAATATTTCTATATAAGTCTTCAACATCTGATCATGTAAGGCACACCCAAAGCCACTGAAATCCGCCAAAAAACAAAAAACAGAAAAACAGAAGGAGATGATGAATAGCAAGTTCTGTTTGGCTTTGCTACTCTTGGGAATTATTTACTGTGACGCAGACTATTTCAATACATATGATTATTTGGAACTAGCCTCAAGGTGGCCAGACACCTATTGCTTGACACATGAAGGCACTTGCAGGGACAAAGTGCCCCAAAATTTCACTATTAGCTATATTCGTCCTAAGAAAAGGGGAGGACCTGATCTGGAAAATTGTCCCACAGCATATCCTCTGCTAAATAGCACTGTTAGTATCTCTTACATTCTCACACTATGAGATTACTACTTTTAACTCTTTACTTATGGATGATTTACAAGTTTCCTTTAGTAAAAAACTGATTTATCTATTCAAGTGTTGTTTGTAATTGTATAGAGTTGTCACAATTAAATCTTTGGATTTGATCTACTCAAAGAATAATAGTCTCAATTCTAGGAGTCGCAACTCTTGAAGAAGGTGAAGAGGTTCAAACTCAAAATTAAATTAGTCAGACCCTTAAGTTTCATAAACTAGTTAATATCTAAAACGAAACTGATTTATGCTTAGACTAAATAAAAGGGACAAAAGTAATGTATCACTCAGGATGATACCTTTTGATGTAAAGGCCTTTGATTTGGTTCCTTTTTCTGACTCTTCATAATTGAAGTCATCCATAAGCCCTCACTGGTTTGTTACACGCGACTTATAAATGAAGCAACTTGCCCTTCCACACACTCTCTTCTACCAAAAAAAGTAGTTTCTAGAAAAGTTGAGATTGTTAATTATGGAAAGGATCTCTGTTTTCAAAATTTTGTGCATATGAATGACTCCATTATCCACATATATACAGATCGAGGCAAACAAAAATGACTTGCTCAAGTTCTGGCCTGATCTGACAACTGATAACTTTCAAGAGAGCAAGGCAATGTGGAATGACCAGTGGAAAATGTACGGGTCGTGCTTTAATATGAGGCCAGATGAATTTATTCAGTACGCACTGAACAGCAGAAAGAGAAGTGATATAAAGAAAATCTTGGCAAGGGCAGGTAAATATATATATATATATATATATATATATATATATATATATGTATATATATATATTCATGTACAAACTTGGTGTTATTTTGAGCTTGAGTTGTTCTTAATATTACAGGAGTAAGTTTGGTTTTCGCTTAGACAACTCAAACTATACTCATAATACAAAAGGCTATTCATAAAATGTTCACTCCTATTTTTAAGGAACACTAAAGTGACCCTAAATATAAATGAAAAAAGTTTTTACTTGATTTACCTAAAAAAAAAAAAAGTGTAGCTTGATGTGATTGTGATTTCAGGTATTGTTCCAAATGGGCTTCAGTATCCACCGCGTAGGATACTGCAAGTTTTCAAGAAAGCTCTGGGTGTCAATGTGGACATAGTCTGTGAGGAAGATAGAAGTGGGAACATTTATCTCGCAGAGGTCCATGAATGTGTTGATTACTATGGAACAACGCCTATAGACTGTTACAATAAGGCAAGAGGATGTGACGATTACCCCATCTATCCCAATATGGGATTTGTTTCGCCAAATAAAGATCCCAAGTAGATAACTACATGCAATTGCAGTCCCCTTGTATTTGAGTCCCAAAATAAGTATATGTACAAAATAAGGGGTTCGAAATCTATGTTAAGGAAATAGTTTATAAAATCTACGAATAAGATTCAGGAAAGTGTGTCAAACGACAGATTCCAACTTTTACACACAAGCTCTCCTTCGTCACAAATTTTACCATGAAAACCATGTTTATTTTGTTAATACTTTGTGTTATTTAGAATTAAAGTTGATCACAAAAGTGAAAATGCATACAAATACACATGTGGTGTAACCACTGGGTTGGAAATTGGAGTCGCCACCAATTTTAATTTAAGTCAGAGAAAATTAAAAAACCTTATGCCTTTGTGTACTGGTCTTTGAAATCGAACAAGGTTCGGGAATCCATCATGTGGCAGGAAGGGTGGAGAATTAACTCCACAGCACCACCAACACATCCATTAAAAAACTGTCACCTTAGATTAGTTGAGTGAATTTTATTTTACCTTAAATTATACAATGACAAAATTATCAAATATAAGGCTAAGTTCAAAATTCACAAATAAATAAGTAAATAAACTAAACATCCTACAAAGAATGACAACAAAATTAATGTAAACTAACAAGATAAAGATTTGAACAAAAATAAAATAACAAATATTTAAAAAAAAGAAAAATATACATGTGAAACTGTACTGACTAAATTTTTCTATAATTTATTTTGATATTTTTTTAATCAAACAAATAAAACAAAGTAAAAAATAAATAAAACTTTTTCCCAAAAATGGAATGTGCGGATGGGTACATATATACCTCAGCATTTCCTTCATTATTGAAAGGATCCACACAGTTTGACCATCCATCAGAGGATGATATGCAGTACTTACTTTCAAGTGAGTAACGAAAGCTCTTTGCAATGCACTCTAACACAAGAAGTGAACTTTCGGTACCGATCATTGACAAGGCTCTCTTGTACCCCATGAAGTTCTTACTATCACCTCCATTTAACATTGAGCTAACAGCCCTCTAGAAAAGCTACCCTTTCTAGGCAAAAATTGGACAGACAAGTTGTTATGTCCACAATAACCAAACAGAGTCGATAGAAGTCTAACTCTTCGACAATCCGAGAATGAAATCTCACGTCAACACACATGTACATTGTAAAAACCCGCACCGTTAAATTAGGAATGTAATTAATTAATTATAAAATTAATGAGATATATCCATAATTGACCCTAATAATTATGAGAAGACTTAAATAATTGTGGTAAGTGATTAATAATGTTGAAAGTAACTTTTCTGACGAAAAGTGCAGATACCGGTTCTGCCACACGGTATAAATGCGTACTGATGAAGTATCTCAGAAAATTATGAAAAGTTTGTATATATTACTAAAATAATATATAGGACTAGTATAACAAGTTTGGAGTCAAAATAATGAGAATTGATGTCAGAACTGATACTGGCTACGTAAAAGCGCGTACTGGCAAACTGCTGCGAAAATTATAATAAAAATATGATAAAGCTTAGAAAAATGGCGAGGTTCAGAATCTAAAGTTTGGGTTTAAAATGATAAGCGGAGCTAATAGTGCTAATACAGTGTGTTTAAACTTAATGATCCTATAAATAGCCTTGTGCACATTAACCTAGATCTGTTCTCTGATTTGTCTATGTGATGCTCCTTGGGTGCCTTGGCTGCCAACTTCTCCAACAGCCTTCCTTGCATGAAAAGCCACCAAGGCTTCATCTTTTCTTGGATTTCTTCCTTTCAAATCCATTAAACACTCAAACAGAAACACCCTTCAAGTAAAAAGACTATTCTTGGAACCCCTTTGTTGTTGTTTTGTGGAGCTTTAGGACTGTTTAGTGGGTTGGGAGTGTAGGAGTCTTCTACATCACCATTGGAGCTCCAAGGAGTGAACTTGGTGAAGAAAACACCTATCTTGGAGGTGAAAATTCGTGCAACTTTGTCTACAAAAGCTTGGAGTGGGCTAGGAACCTCCAAGAGCACTTCTTTTTTTGTTTTTGAAGCTTTGGCTACATCCTACACATTTGTTCTTGAGTTTTTATTGAAAAGAATGAACATGGATGCATGTAATAGGTCAAAGTTGATAACCTAAGTGTAATAATGGCATAACACCTAAAAATACATGCTTGAAGGTCTGAAAGTGTTAAAAGTTGAACCTTGTAGGAAAAACTTTGAAAAAATGTATTTTTTGAAGACTGTCGCAAAATATCCCGATTTTAGAAAACCAATATCCGGATCTGGATATTCCTTCGAAAATATCCGGATATAGATATCTGGATATTCCTCCATAAATATCTGGATATTCCTCCATAAATATCTGGATATTGATATCCCGATATGATATCCGGATATCGATATCCCGATATTCCTTTGGCAATATCTCGATATTTTGGTCTTGACAACAACGAACCTGTTTTAGTAAAAATTCGATATCTTGAGCTAGAGAGCTCTAAATCGAGTTTCGTTTGGACCTATGTGAAGCTAACACATAGGGATATAACTCTATGAAATTTCGTAACCATTGGATAAGTGGTTTGATCGAAGTGTCATGTTGAAGTCGCGTTTTGGTTGCTGGAAATTTCGGTTGCAGCAGTCACTTTACGTAAAACATAGTCGGAGTTATACAACTCCGATTGAGACATAAAATATGTCGTTGTAAAGCTGGAGATGTCTAGTTTAACATATTAAAATCTCAGAATTTTCGGTAAAAAGTTGCAATTAAATTTTTAAAAAGAGTAAACATGGTTTAATGCTTGAGGCTTTGAGGAAAGCCTGCAATAAGCGAAAATGAAAAAGAAAACGTATTCCTTTTGTTTTGTGATCCTGCTATTTTGTGACTTGTGGAGTGCTGTTTGGATTTTAAGTTTAAGCATACTACTTGACAGGTAAGTTCCATGTTCTCGGGGTTAATCCCCATTTGTTCCACATACTCCAAGAGAGGGATGGTAGTTTTAAGTGGTATATGTGCTTATCTATTATTCTGATATGATGAAATGATGCATTCTTATATATGTATGTTATGTGGTGTATTACACACAAGATGGTAACCCCTGAGTGTAGTGTGGAGCTGCACAAGATGGTAATCCCTGAGTGTGGGTATAAGGTAGATGCCTTATGCTTCTTATGTATGTAGCAGACGTGTGTAAATCATACTTTTCTCTGGCCAGTAGACTTGTTAGCACACATGCATGATATATATGTTGTTACATCATGTGATTCTGTTATTACTGTTAAACTGTTATCTTTGAACTGCTATACCGAAGTGAGCGTGGGCGGAGGAACTCTTCGAGAACCCTTGTCTTACGGAGATTTCTGTTTAGAGATCTCACCCCACGTTTAGGGCACATTTTCAGGTTTAGGTAACTCGGGGGTTGAGACCTCGGGCGGCAGGAGGCCGGAGCTAATGTGATATGCTTGTTGTTTATACTGTTATGCTTGGATGCTGACATGTTATATCCTTATGATTATATTTGTTATTGTTAAGACTCTGTTGGGCTTTGTTGCCTTATTTGGTGAGCACGGGGGTTGTCCATGCCATATTGATTGACTATGTCTTATCTTAGCCAATGTGATACTCACAGTTATTTATATATTGAGGTATTCCAGTTAGTTGTTTTATTGTAATTTACATACAGACAATGTTTTATGAAAAAAGGATTAAGTAATCAACTTGGTAATATTAATGACGTCATAATTGAAAAGAAAAAGTTATTCCGCACTTTAATTAAGCGTTGCTTAATACGATCACATGATAACAAACCGGGTATACACGGGGTGTTACATACAGATTACTCCCTTGAGGTAATTCCTCCAATTTGTCAAGACAATACGCTCTTTGCTCCGTGCTAGTTCATATACTCGCTTGCACATGCTTCAATACTCTCGTCTTGAAATCGTAGCAACATCAATGAACAATTCTTTAACTCAACTTTTCATAACCTTGTGTCAAAATCGATCCAACATCCCTTCACGAAACATTGCAACATTTCCCATCTCGCCTTCCGGGTCTTAAGTGATCAACATCAAATCGTCATTCATTTCTCTAGGATAATCAGTCATTTTATCAGTAGAGGTGACCTGACCCTCCATACTCTATTATTCACAATAACTTGAGTGAGTTTAGGTCCTATTTCATGACTCTAGTCGTGTCTCGACTTACAATTTTCATAAATCCTCAATCTTTAGAATAAAGCAATAATTTCTTTCATAGTACAGAATCATACCCATGTTCCTTTCAATCTATACATGTTAATTAATATACCAATTCACATAGTAGCATACCTTAGTTAACGTACACCTGCAAAATTTAACAATTCAAACAACAAATAAATAAAATACACTACATAACGGTATACCTCAATCTCCATGGCATCTGCAAAATCAAAAGTCAATAAAAGGTGGTATAACACTGATATATTAACACAACTCATAATATTTATGTCATGCTTAGCACTATCCATGGTGTTCACATGCAATCAACATATGTAACAAATCAACAATTTACATATTGAACTAGAATCATGGAGACCACTCAACCCACAAAACTAACTGTACATGCACTTGCCTCGCATATACACGATCGCGCGTGGCCTTGCCACAAAGTCTAAGTGTTACGCACTTAATTCCTTAAAGAGAATTTCACATTCTCAAACAAACCTGACTAGAGAGTGTTTCTCACTCACACGTAATAAGATATCATCTCTTACGTTTTTAAAATAGAGCACCATCACAATTACATAATGGCGTAAGGCATATTACCTTTCATGCCAAACTTTGGCATATCACTCTTCGTGTATTTTACTCACTCCACCACTTGGTGGTTATTGAGTATAAATTCATATTTCAAGTCTCTTACTACATTGTTATACCACGAGGCAAACTAAAATTGATTGATTTGTGCACCTCGTGCACCCGGACCACCCGATGAGTCAAACTAAAATTGATGCCCTCATGGGACTTCCAAGAGTCAACACTTTTAGGATCCAATCCCCAAGGAAAGCCCATGACATAGATTATCGACCAAGGAACTAGTAGGCATACCAGTCTCCCGTGTACCTCGTACAAAAGGACCACTCAATAAATCAC